CCCTAACTAATCACCAATTGAGATGCAGTTTATGGAATTATGTCTGAAATGGCTAAGCCAGCCTAGATCCTAGACATAGGGTGGCATGGCTTATTGTGAAGGGATATTTATACAACACTTAAAACCATTTTTCCAATTAAAGCCATGTTTTAATTTCTGAGAAACCTGGTAAACATTAATGTAGTGTCCGGTGCGTTCCACTACGATATGCAAGGTGTTTGACCAAATTCAGGATTTTCTAAATAAATGTAATGGACATGTGGTTTGGTAGCCCCAGGTACAGTCCAGAACTAAGAGCAACTTCTCTAGGACCAGCTACATGTGTCATTAAATGTCAGAATTCTCATTAGAGCAGTGAGATCAAGTTCACAGCTACTGTAACATTACGTTTTTGTTAGCACTATGAATTTCATAAACTCAGGGTCAGATTTTGAGTCAATGACTGTCAGGAAGACAGTACCTTTTGCCAAAGGTACTTCTCTGTCTACATAAAGCATAAGCCAGTGTTAGAGACTAAAACCAGAATCAACAATTAACATACACATTTACATGCATAGATGTACTTATTGAGCCTCTCCAGTTACTACACAGAATAAATGCTACGGTCCTAGTAAATTATTTTAGACAGACTTCAGAAACCATCTGGTCTCCACATTTTGGAGATATGACCAACTAAAGAATTCCTGATTTATATATTTACACAGAAGCAAAATAACATCTCCCTGCTTAATTATAAAAGCTGCACAAAAAAATCCATTAAATCCAGTCTTGAGTGCTTGCTGATAGAGGTACAACAGTTTCACACAGTAGCAAAATGCTTGAAGCTTTTACACTTGCATTTTCTTACTTGAATATTAAACAATTTTTGTTCATTGAGGCTAAGAGAAGAACCTAAGAATGAAGTTTAGACATCAATCTCCACTAGAATGTTGCTGAAAGCAGCTTTACAGTATGCAGTACAGCCTCACCTCCGAAGTTGTGAATGCAAATAAGTAGTTAACTTTGTGGTTTCTTCAAGTTTCTGTACCAACTCTTTTCTTCTCTCCTCCAATTTCAATCTGAAAACAGAGGAACATAAGTATAGGAAAGCATTACAAAATAACCCAGAGACTAAAACACTTTATAGATAAGACAGAAATAAAGAGAAGATCCCTCATATTTTCACCTGGTTGCCAGTTACTGAAGTCCACTGTGTTAGCTCTCAGTCCTATATTAAAACCCTAATGACTTCAGCAGAGTGACTTTACCTGCAGAATACCAAGCACTGTAACAAACCTGCTGACTGTACAGGCAAGCAGAATGTTGGTACATTCACAGTGTACACCAAGGGAAACATGCATCTAATAAAAGAATAATAGATGAGCACTGGGAAAATAGCTATAACTTCAGGAAAATAAGTCCTGCGCTAGTAGTTTTTAAAAGCCACACTGTAGACTAGCTTCCCACTTAATATAGTTTCAGAAAAAACACACCTAAAAACAAAACCAAAAGAACACAAATACCAGTATTAGTTCTGATAAGGCAAGACTTGGGGTCCCACTGCAGGAAGTTTAAAATTCAAGTCCTCCCTTTGATTTCAGAGTCTTCATATAGAGACAAAACACAGTAAATCAAAGCAGCATTCAAGTGCAAGGTTTTATTATGACAGACTATATTTAGGAGTCTTTGGTAAAGATTTCTGCATCCTTAACAGCTTTGTCATCACCCCAGAGCCACACAGCATTGTAATGCTCATTATCAAGATTCAACTTAAGAAAAAGCAGGATTTATTGCTTCCTGCACTGTTATCCAGCCTAGTTCTAAACCCACAAATGGTAGAACTCCCCCATTCCTTTTGGCTGCCTGTAAACAGAACTAAACTTTACAGTGATTTTTGCTGCTTTAATTCCTTTTTATCACTCCATTTACAACACCAAATAAATTGTTTTCCCACAGTGGATTCAGCTAAAACCCTCCTGTAGTTGTGGATTAGTATATTCTCCTCTAGCCCTTGCTCAGTCACAAGTTCTCAAACAACAAATCTGAGGAACAAGGAATCAGCTCCCCTCCTCTAAAAAAAAGGTTTGATTTCATTCTCAAAAACTTTTCTTTTGGCCTTTCTGGCATCTCAGGGATGTATAAATTAAAATTAAAACGCTGAGATCACTTAAAAGAACAAAACAAAAAAGTCAACCATTGCTTTCTTATGCAAACTGACTAAATACTCCAAAGAGTGAATCCTGGGAACTCTCAAGTGTCAGATACCACTAAAAAGACATTTAAGTCCTCAATTCAGCAAAGCATGAAAAGCACTTACTTACACCCATGCTTATTCAGGGAGCAAATCTGGGTTATGCAAAGGTGAATAAGTTACCCCGAGGTCAGCCAGGGTGTGAACTTCCACTCCATTGCCTACGCTGCATGTGCTCTTACACCACAATGATGTGTCATCTGCCAATACCTGCTAAAGCTGTTAAAAGCATACATGGTATTTCATTCTTTGCTCAGGAAGACAAGCATATGTTTTTCCAAACAAAGAATTATGTTCATCTGTGGTCTCAATTTTTCCTACCATTTTACTATTTATCATTGCCTTCTGCCTTCTTTTAAAGCCTAATCTATCTTGCTTCTCCCAAGCAAGAGTGCTCTTCACTAACTCCTTTGTGGCTTTTCAATAGTGAATTATTTTATCTTCAAGGAAGAAGAACAAAAATTATGTGTTCAACTACTTAAGGCAAAAGGCAAAAAAGAAAATGAAAAGCTTAGGAACGTTTCTGACTGGAGTCCTCCAAATTGACACCTATAGTTGTTTCACTGAACCTTTTACTGTTAAACTAAAACGTTTGTTTTTTTCTCCAAAGCACAAGCAGAAGTTTGTTTTCTTTTATTACCTTAAGGAGGTTGATAAATTAAATGGGGTAAATTACATTTTAGCTCCTGAAAAACAGCATTCTTTCCTGAATGTAATCTACAAGTAATTAAAGAAGTGGTATTAATACCTATAGGTAAATTTTATAGAGATGTTAGTCACAAGTCACAAACACAAGCTAGATGATTAAATCACTCCTGGAAGTTCCAAGACACATACATAATAGTTTTACCATCTCACAAAAAATTGAAATTCAAAGACATGTTTTTCATACTACATCAGGAAAAATTAAAAAAACCCAAACAAATCCTCAAAACTTTCAAACAATTAACCTTCCTTCTTTATAGCATAAGCAGGAATAATATACCACAGACCACGTAAACACCTAAACAACCACTGTGTTAGCTCTTCTGACATGGGCCTCTTTCAATCTCCCCTGCTCACAACCCTCCTAATTAACTTATTGCAGGAGCAGCTTAAGTGTTAGTGAGACATCTTTCTCCAGTTTTGATCTTCAATTGTAATATTGCTGAGAGGGGCATAGAATCTTTAACAAATACATTAAAAAGTTAAAGTTCAATGCAAACTTACATGGACTTGTTCTTGACAGGTACAAGAACAGGGATCAATTTTGCAGGCAACAGCACATTCAAGTAGTTAAATCATGCATCTGTTTAAATGCCCATGATTACTTAGAAGTTTTGCCAAGGACTGATGCTGTAATGGAATCTCCCCAACATGAATGCAGAGGCAAGCAAGCAGCACATAGTACCACAATCCAGATATATTATATAGTTGCTGGAAGGCTTCTTAAAGCAGTCAGAATATGCCCTGTCTCTGCTCTTTTGAAACTCCTGTTAGGATTTATACCCTCCTCCCGTAAATTGATTCCAAGTACATCTACCAGTAGCAATAACAGCCTTCTACTCCAAAATAACCTAAGGCTATAACATTTTTTATTTAAAGTCAGAGCAAGTCTTCTGTTTCTTCACTCCTTAGAAAAAACTGAAAAAACACTGAAAAATCTCCAAAACCAAACTAAACCAAAACACCTTTGTCACATTAGGCTCTGACACAATCCATAGCTTCTTACACTGTTGCTTCGTTATCAGTACCTGTGAAAATACTGGAAACTTAAGGCATTCATGAAACTTTATGAAATAAAATAGTAATGCAACAATAGTGCAGTGCTTTGAAGACAGTGTGTTCCTCCACTAATAATGCAGAATCTTCCTCATCTCCAAGAATTAAAATGCTGATGGGTTGATGAGATACAATTAACTGTATCCTTTTCTCAAATTAACATTTCAGGAGAAGTATGACCATCTGAAACCTTCCATGAAATGAAAATTTGCTTTATGTTTATAGCAGACACACCAGAAATAATCTCCGAAATAGCTTCATGTGAAAAAAAATTATGTGCTATGAAGTTATCAAGGGAAGCAGTCTTAATACCGTAAGAAGTCCCAGGTAGAAATTCACTGGAGATTCATGGGAATGGCAAAAAAACAAACCAGAAGCCACCATAAATACAGAATCACATAACCTCAACCAGCAGCGTATGACATGAAATCTTACAGTAACCTCAGGAAAACATTCCACATTTTCATGAATGAAGATAGAAAGGAAAAGAAAAATTGAAGAAAATAAAGGGGAAAAAAATTAAGCTCAAACAACTAGTTGTGTCATTATACATGGAAAAAATCTGCTGTTTTATTTCTTCTTGACAGTGGGAGAAAATTTTACGTGCCCTTGGTACTCCAAGTTTGTCAGCTGACATGCACAGGAAAATGGTCAGGTGCAGAATTTTCTTTGGCACTAAACAAGCAAATCCAAAACATGAGACTAAGAAATCAGATACCTCTTTACAGCCTGAGTCAAGATTTAGCTGTTACTGACAACAGCATATTATTAGAACCTTAGATTGAAAATATTTATGTGTGAATATGATTTTTATTACTGACCCCTTGTTCTCCATTTATTAATGGAAGTAAGAAAGCAATAGATCCATGGTAATTCAGATACTACTGACAGGTAATTTCTCCTGCAAAAATATAGTTCCAGTAGGACATAACCCTTCTTCTAAACCATGTTTGGATTATAGATATAATGCACTTTAAAATATTCTGAAGTGTATAAATATATTTCAAGATCACACCCAATATACACATATGTACTTTGTAAACAAAATTTCCTCACTACTCAGCTACAATTCAGGACCCAACTTCTAATGCCACTAGCATGAATTTCACCATTCAGTGAAACTGGAGAAACCGCAGGTGTCTCCTAGCAGAGGGAAGAGGGAAAGGCTCACAGTGCTGATTGTATTACTTCAATAAGCCATACTACACTAATACATGCAATAACATTTTGTGCTTATTGCACTTCACGTGTGCTAGAGGTGCCCATAAATATATTTCCAATTACAGTTGATAAGAATTTCAATTGTGATGGTCACCTTTCATTTTCCTGAACTCTTAATCTGCCTAAAAGAATTTATTGTGGGAGTTGCATCTGTTACCAGTTAGGCGGCAGCAAGTTAGAAAACTTTTGCAGCAATCATACTTCTCTGAACTTTTTTTTTTTTCCTTTTGGTTACATTTTTGTATATAATAAAACTCAATGATAGACTTTAGATGTCGCAACAATCAAGATAATCTTTGTAACCCAAGTTCAAATAGTTTACAGCTATTATCAGAAATGAGTGAATGATGTATTGCCCTCCTGCTGATATGTTAACATTCCTCAGTTATTTAACATCTGTCACAGGCATTTTCATGCTGGTAACAAACACAGAGCAACTAATATTGCAGCACATACACAGGGTTTTCACATCTTCTCACAGTACAGAAGACTCCTTTGTGTTTCTGCCCAGTGGGCTAATAACAAATTTAATTAAGATCTACATAGAACAGTTACTGAAGGAAAACAGCTCATCAAAGCACAGTTCAGGGTCTGTAATGAGTACAAAGGTTAGATTACTGAAAGCAGCATTGAATATTACCAAAAGTCAACCCCTTACCTTTCAGCAAGTGCTTGACTGGGTGTGCTTTTTACAGATAGTAGCTCTTCTTCAAGCCTCTTCCTTTCTGCTTCTAGCTGCTCTAGCTCATCTTGAGTACGTTTGCGTGGTGTAATAAACTGGAGTTCCTTTAAAAGCTCTTCTTTTTCATTGATTAACATTAGCTTTTCCTTTTCCACATCCAGTGCCCCAGGCCAGGCTTCACTATCTAGCTTAGAGAGTTCAATCTTCAAGTTAGCCATGCTAAAACAAAACACAGGAGATTTGCCTGAGCCCAGCACAGCACACAAGTCCCAGCAAGGAGAGAAGTGATACAGTGTTTTGAAAGGTATCAGGATATAACTACATTTTCTACTCCATCTCACACTGTTAATTAGCTTTGCTGCACAAGGATGCAGACTACACCAGAAAAGCAGATCACCTTTCCAGGCCAACAGCAGTATACATATGCACTAAAACCTCTTATTCAAATACCAAGTTGAAGTCACAATGTTAACAGACGCTTTATTTCAATTGATCTGTCTGGTAACATGGTAGCAGCACTATGCTTTATTCATTTAGGAGTATGATGGGTTTCTCCGAAGCTGTTGGGAGACTGATCACTCCTCAGAAACAGCAGTGACCATGGTGAAAGAATGCACACCACAGCAAGGTGCTCAGCAGCATCCATGCACACAGATGTTAAAGGGCAAAAGCATTGTTCTTCCATGGGTTTGAAATGAAAGCTAACAGCATAGTGGCCACCTAAAGATAAGAGATCATTAACTCAAAAGTTTGAGTCGTGCAACTGCTGTTGCCATTGCACATGTCAAATCCCAGAGCTAAGACGCTCAAGACTTGGTTATCCATACATATTGTGCAGATAGATGCATATAATGGAAGCAGAAAGTTCCCTACATTGTTCTTGTACTGTACTTCAGCTCTGATCAAGACAGGTTATTTCCAGTGTTCAGTCTCCATAATCATTCTGTCTGTGGGCTCCACAATGTAGCTTAAAAAGTGCAAGTTTTGCAGTAAAGACTCATTATGACTGGAAAAGGCTAAAAATTCCTGTTATAGGTGGCACATAAATAACAAGATGATAACTTTCAGTCACTTCCAGCCTTAGCCACACCTGAACCAACTGCATAGCTAGATATGGAAGCTCTGAACTATGCAACTATGCTAAGAAAAAGGCCAAGAAAAGAGAAGTCAATGTGGAAAGATGTTCCCATAGAATCTAGAAGAAAAGGAACTGATCTGTTACTTTTACTTAGCTGTAACTACCACAGTAAAATACACCTAAGTCAGTTCAACAACTGATAAAATTCTGTGCAACTTCAATGTTACCAGGCACTACCTAAGGTAATGACCCATGCCACACTTCATAAATACACACAGATAATTTGGTATGTATAATCTTTCTGCAGTTCTGACAGATTTCTGGGAAAACATTTTTCTTCTTTCCAGTGTGTTGTGTTTTTTTTTTTTTGTAATTAACAAAACTGATAATATCATGCTTATTTTGCATCTCCGGTATTAATTTTACAGCATATTAAGGCATTTATTTATGGTCAAAGTTTAGAATAGTTAATGTTGAATCTAACTATTCCATTGCTTATACTAGAAGCTTAACGGAAATAGCCCCCTTTCTTTTTCCATAAGTAGCATTTCCTTCTCATCTGCCTGTCAATGGAAAAACAACAGCTTCAACCCATACTCCCACCAAACCCCTGCAAGAACAAGTTTGACTCAGACTATTTTTACAGAAAAATAATGTAAGATAAACAAAAAATACTATCAGCAGTGCTACCATAAAGACATAATGGGACGAAATGAAATTAAGCATTTCAACATATTTTGCATCTATTACATATACATTCACAGTCCTTTAGAGGAGCAGTACTCAGAGGGAAAACAATCAAAAAATTTCAGATGGATAATGAAATGTCAAGATTTTTCTCTCCAGTTCACTGGTTCTGGGTAACCTTGTTAAAAAAATAAGCTGCTACTGACAGCTGTTTGATGGCTTTTGGAATGGGACGGGGTCTCCAAACAGTTCTGTCACTCCCTCTGCTACTGACAACTTTCTGCTACTGCAACTGATGCTCTTTTCAGCTGCCTCATCAGGCAGGCAAAGGACTAGATGGATAAGAGAACTGAAATGGTTTCACTCTTTTGAGAAAGTCTATCCTCAACATGTGAAAGAGTATTAGCCAGATCTTCACCACATTAGGACAGGACTGTCAGCATGCCGTATCAAATCCCTTGGAATAACAACGCAACTGAATTTAGCACAGCCAATACAACATTTCACCTCTTCAAGACATTCTGCTGGCTAAGCAATGTAAAACACAATATGCAAAATTATTTTATAATTTTCAAGTAGAGAAGTTCACTTACAAGATCCTCTTACTTTTCGTTATTTGAACACAAAAGAACTAAGATTCTGCACATTTAATATTTCAGAAAAGATGTTCATACAATCATATAATAGTTTGAGTTGGAAGGGACCTAGATGAGGTTGCTCAAAGCCCCATCCAGCCTGGCCTTGAACATTTCTAGGGAGAGGGCAGCCACAACTTTTCTGGGCAACCTAGGCCAGTGCCTCACCACCCTCACCGTAAAGAATCCTAATATCTAATCTAAATCTGCACTCTGGCCAATACTTAATCAATTATAGTGATGATTACAATGGCCATAATAATTGGAGGAGGGGCGGTGTAATTAGGTACTAAACCTTATGTTGCAGATTGGTATGAATCTTCCTTATTCCAAGATATGTACACTTTATTAAGTTCACTCTGTAGTCACTGATGAAACCAGTATGTGCAAACACTCTATAAAGACTTTAATGGTGTCTTCAAGGGATATGATTGTCTTATTTGAAGCTGAAAAGGATATTTTTTGCTGGGCAGTTTTCAGGCAAAATGGAATAAAGATACCATTTAAAAGGAGATAATTTAACTCTGAAACACATAAATATAAATAAATACTTAGTTATGCAAAGGTAAGTACACAAGCTACTGAAATTTCAAGCCACATTCTTAGCTAACTAACTTGTGAGAAAGTAAGACCTGGTGCTGCAGTACTCCATACTTTGAGCATTGTACTTTTTTTTCTTCTTGTTTTTAAGGTAGAAGTGATAAACAGACTTACTGCCAGGAATTTTTTAGTTCCTACAAAGGAGAGATAAAACACAATGCTGGGACTTCTTGGTAACAAGACATAGTCAAAACAGAGGATGATCTCATTTTGGATCAATTATGCCTGAGAAAAAATGCCATCTATCTGCATCTAAAACTCCACCTGACAATTAATATTACATATATGATGATTCTGAGCCAAAATCATACATTTTCAATACTGAACAAACACAATAGCCTTAGCACTCTTTGTTGAATGCATTGATTATATAATAAAGTTTTATGATCCATAATGAGGATAATAAAGGATTACTGTTTTTACTGGCAAAGATGGTAGCTGCTAGCTACTACTTAGCGTGATGAGGCAAAAAAAAGGTTGGTTGTGCAATCTCCTGACTTGAAAACATAAAAACTAAATATGCCTTCACTTTGCACTTATAAACTGCGAATTTCTTTTCCTAGTTTTCTAATTGACCATGTCACAGTATTTCAACTCCAATAGTACTTAAATCTCAGATTAAATGGCATTTTAGGCACAGTTTTCATCTGAGAAAAATGGTTACTTTTTTATTTTATTATCTTGTTTAGTTCTTTATAGTAAAAAAAAGGAACGCTTGGTGTGGAATACCTGTTTCGATTTCTATTTCCTTTAAACTGCAAAGCACCCCCATAACAACTACTACAAGGCTTCTGAATAGCTGACACCTAATTGATGAAAAAGTATTAGAAAATAATATATCACAATTAATACATTATTAAGAGAGAGATAACTCACACTTTTAAAAAAAATAACAAATCTCCCCCAGGTATTATGCAGCACTTCTGGTGCACCGGAAGACATGTCACTGTGACCCTGAATGTTCTGCCTTCTGATGCCCATTGTTTAGTGCTGCTGCGATTCATTAAAACAGCACCACTTTCATGAGCAACTGCTACAGAACTTTTATTTGAACACCATTCCACATTCATCAGTGGAGCAGTTCCTGATTTCTTTTTTCCTCAGGTTAAACTCATTAGAAAAACCAACCCCACAGTGATAACAAGTATTTAAATTATCCAAAGTCCCAGGGAATAAAGAAATAATTAAACCTACTAAATCTACACTGAATTCTGAAACAACTCTAAACCTGAAGAGTGTTCAGCAGCAGAGTAACTGAAATTATGATCCCCAGGAAGGATATAATGGACATAGATAACCTGGCGATGCCTTTCAGTGGAAAGCCAGCTCACTTTATTCCCTTAATCCAAAGAAGGGCATCGAAGCTAGTGAAGGGTCTAGAGCTCATTTTATGAGGAGCAGCTGAGGGAATGGGGGTTGTTTAGCTTGGAGAAATGGAGGTTGAGGGGAGACCTCATTGCTCTCTAAAACTGCCTGAAAGGTAGATGCACACAAGTCCATGGGACCGGATGGGCTACATCCAAGGGTGCTGAAGAGTTGGCAGACATGATGGCCAGGCCACTTTCCATTATTTACCTGAAGTCCTGGCTTCATGTCCAGTTGGACTTGGTGATCTTAAAGATCTTTTCCAAGCAAAGCAATTGCAGTAAGCACGTTGCAGTAAGGCCAACAGAGCCTCCGAAGAGCTGCCCACTAGATGTCACTGCGAGCACAATGTTCGTGCTGCAGAGATCAGACACCTCCAACTCAAAGACTGTAACTTAACAAAGCAACTAACCCTATTACCTCCTTTTTGCTTCTTCATAGCGCAGACTTAGTCTGACCTTCTCTGCTAAATTTGATCTGCTTCTTGCTCCAACCTGTTGAGAAAAAAATAAATTAGCCTTATTACTGTGTAAAGCTGTTAAATGAATCAAAACCTATGCACAGGCTAGAAAAATCACAGCCTACAGAAATAAAACCACACCCACCTGCAGCCACACACCTGCTGTTGAACGCCTAGTTAGGAATCTACTCAGATGTACAAAATCGTGCTGTTCTCTTCTGATTCACTTAATCTGTTTTTAACTACTGTACTACCAATTGTCCATATTCCATCAGAGTAAAGCAAAAGCATTTTCAAACAAGTCTTGCAGTGATTGCACCCAAAATGTTGCTGTCCTACTTGGAACTCTGCTGAACTCAGTCTTTAGAACTAAATCAGTGCATTTCAAAGAAAAACTTCAATAAATTTACACAAAACTTAACAAGCTTAGCTCTTTATTTGGAAAACCTTGTACAGTCTCTTCCTTAAAAACTTAGCTCACAGAACTTCAAAGAAGGTATCAAAATTAAGCACAGCTTTCTGCGCTTGTAAATATACTGTCAGGAAATAAGGAATGTTTTAATGAATCACTGAACAAGTTTCACAAACAATTTTTCAGCTGAGTGAAAAGAAATTGCACATTTAAATTCTGAGATCTTGTTTCTGGAAATTAAAAACATCTTCATACTGAATTAAGTCTGTAAGGTGAAACATACCCTGTAGACAGATCAGAAAAATACTATCTGCTTAAGCTGATCTTCACTGGAACTATTTGATTAAATCACAGTCATAGATGCTTCAAGCCAAACATATAAAGCTCATCTGAATCTTGATTTAAATTTTAAGGGGAAAAAAACAGGTAACTGATTTTAAGTAATTCTCTCTTTACCATATATATACATGCACCTATCAGCAGAAGTAAACAACCATTTTATTCCAACTCTATTAACTGCAGCATTTGGATTTGATTTCTCTTTACATTTGACAAAACGGAAGGACGCTTACCTCACCAGAAATGTCAGTCTGAGACCCTGCATCCAGAGTTTGTCTAGAAAAACACAGCTGGGAGTTCACAGAGCTAGAACTCAGGTCTGGTTCAGATGTTCCAATGGTCTGGTCGAGATTGAATTTCTCTCTCAGCTTTGCAAGACTCTGTCCAGGAAACAGAGAAGGAGGTGGTGTTAAAAGTTCCTCTGTACTTTGCTGTGTTTATACCAGTTTATCTCCAAAGTATGTTTACCTCAGCCACTTCAACATAAAAATTCTGGGTTTACTTCATATTAAGCAACCTATCCTTTAAAACGAGCAGTTGGTACGTGACATGAAAGGTGACCAACACCAGCAACAATACAAAAACTATTTATGTGGTTTTGTCTCTCTTTTGGTTTTTTGCTGTTTTTTTGTTTGTTGTTTTTTTTTTACTTGTCAACCAATTAAATACTTAGCTAATTTAAAAATATCTGCTTTCAGAAAAGGGAACAGGGCTATTTAGATTTTGAAAACTTTCACTGAGTTAGAAAATGGCTATGCATCTCAAAAACACATCCCAATTTTGTCCACCTAATATTTTAAATTGTGGTTTAGATGTAATGTATGCTTTGTACCTTACACACAAGTTCAGAAATCTGCATTCTCTGACATATAGTAACTTTTTGAATTAGAAAAGTCACAGGCTTCAGTTTCTGCATCTGAGTATTGCTTTTAATACTAGTTTTGAGAATCCCTTAAAATTATAAAATGCAAAGTATTAATAATCAAGAAAGTTAAAAATACCTTCATTAAATCTTGTTTTTCTCTCTCCCCTGAACTTATTGCCTTTCTGATGGACTTCAGTTCACTCAGGATGGCTTTGGCCTCACATAGTTCATACCCGCTCTGGCCTCCAGACATTTTTTTGTCAATTCTGTGGAAAGAGGGAATATTAATACTGCATACAGAAAAGAATACTGGTATCTTTGCTGTTCTGCTTCAGGCAAAAGCATAGTTAGAGGAAGGAGAGAAGAGAGATGATTTCCTTTATCAGACTTGCAAAGAGGAAAAAGGACGCTGAAGCCACCATTAAGACACTAACTACTTCAACCTTGGCAAAAATGTCAGGCTAATACATACACAGTGTCCACAGGTTTTGCTGACATCAGGAAGTTTAATGGGAAAATACTTCTATTGGCTTTAAAACCACCTTACCTAAACTACTGGGGCCTTACCAAAGACAAAGACTTGACAAGCAATTCCAGTTGATCCAGTTTTAAAGACATCAGGGGCACACAGCACTTACTAAAGACTCCTCTAATGCTTCCAGAAATGCAGCAGTATTGCTGACAGCACTAAGAATTCCCATGACCACCATAACTCTTTGCAGCACAGAAGCAGCTTTAACTATTTGTGGTTCTTACAAAATCAAGATTTATTATTAGTAGAATTCCTCTACTCAGACCCTCATCATGACATGAACAGACAGACAAGCTTCTTGGTAATCATCAGGCTTGCAGATAAACAATGTAACCAGCTCCATTCTTGTCTCTGTTTCCCTATCCTTTATTGTAATCCTAGGCATTACCAGTCTAGAACAGCTGTTCTGCTCAGCCCATCATCAGGTTTTCTTTATTCCCAAAATCTCCAGATAATTAATATCATATGTCATACACTGGACAATTTATTAAATTTTTGGACCACCAATGATTTAAAAACTGTAACTTGAAAATAACAACCCAAAAAAGCTTCCCAACTTAAGTGATAAAAGATATTTCATTTTAGTATTTCCTTATTTACTTTGAGGTACAGTTTGTAAATACACTTCTATCTCTAGTTTAACAGAATATTTAATAGCATCATGCAACAATGCTTCAAAAAATAAGAAACAACAGCCATCTTCACATAAGTCAAACATTTAATAGAGAACACATTATTTTATAAAGCAACTGGTTTTCTGTTTTTATCATCACACTTCATCTTTGGTAGAGGACATCAAACTTATCAGTGAGGAATAAACATTTTAATGATCAGAAGAGATCTTGAGCATCCCCTGCAAGAACAGAAACTCGCACAAAGCACCTCTAACAGTATTCTATTTTACTTCCAGTTTTGTCCACAAACATATAAAGGTTCTAAAGTGGTCTTTAAAGCTGTAAGCATGTCTGGTTTCTTTCTCTATGCTCCAGTTTTTGTGCAAACTAGAACTGCATTTGTGCAAGAAAATTACTTGTGTGACTCAGCACTCATATTCCTATTCAAGGATATATTTGTTTCAGCTTGAAAGTTCCTCAAACTCTTTCACAGGTATGCACATACTTAAGAGTCTGACCACAGTCAATTTCTGGTAACTTCCCAGGTTGCTAAGGTCAACTAGATACAGAATATGACAACAGTTGGGATAATGAATGAACAGTTGGGCAATACACCACATGCTGCCTAGTAATATGATGTGTCATATTCGAATCAGAACTGCTTTATTCTGTATATAATTAAGATGGACAAGAAGGATCTCAGACATAAGATATTCCATCTTCCTGTTTTAAATTAATGGGATTAGTATTGTTTGAAAGTGGCTGACTGAATTTTCAAAACAGATGTCCATTGTGTTTCTGTGGAATGCTGTTGACAGTTTCTGAAACATGCTTTGGATTCCTATCAAAATGGCTTGTGAGCAAGCTGCTTTAAAACAATACTTCATTGTTCAATTAATAGAATAAAACCAGCTTGATTGGCTAACCTTTGATCCTGGGACAGCAGCATGAGTTTTTATTACCTTAAGCTTTAGAATCAATCTTTTTTCTTCAATTTTGCTTCAAATGCAATCTGATTTATGGTTAAATAAATTCAATCAGCTATCCTTTTCTCCCTTCAGTCCTTGCTAGTCTTTGTATACCTAAACAAACAAATCTTACCTTTCTGGTTGAGCCAAAATGAAGGAGACTTGACCGGCATCTTTCTAAGGTGCTGAGGGTTTCCAGTTCCAAATATATTTTAAACTCCTCATTGCAGAAAAATATTTTTTGTCTATTTTGATGTGTCTCAGCTATAATTGGGCATTTCCTGACCATAATTTTTTCTCCCACTGAAAAAAAATCCTACTGTATAGAACTGCTCTATTCAAATACACATGCAATAGCCTACAACATGTTTTGGTTAGAACTGGGAACTGAAACCCAGTCTCTCAGGTCCAAACACAGATGCTCTTGTCATTCTTTGCAAATCACTTCTCTGCACTGCAGTACTCTACCTGGAAGATGGAAACACACTTCCCTTCTCCCACCTTTTGTCCATCTTCCCTATATATTCTACAAGCTCTCCAAGACAGAGGCTATTTCTTACCTGACAGTACACTGTCATACACAGGAGGTCCTGAGAAAAAGGATAAATGAATCCAAATCATATTACATTAATCCTGTACTAGGAGCACATAGCTCAGCATTTTACTGTGTAAATGTATCCTTAATGTATGGATACATACCACAATAAGGAAAACACATAGCAGTAATACATTTCTGTTTACATTAGTCAAGAAAACACGCTTGTTAGTAAGGTTTCCTCTGCAGCAAGTTCTCTGTGGTGACAGTTCCAGTAATGTTTAATATTGTAGGGCCCAACTTTGTAAGTCAGGAGCAGCAGGGAGTGCTCAGACTGAAAAAAAATTAATTCCCTAATAATCCAACTAGTTAAAAACCCAGAAGGTTCACCCAGTTCAGTGTCAGCCCTTTGGACACTAGGCATCCCAGCAACTGGAACAAAGAAAGTCAGATCTCTAATCCTCAAATTGTGACTCATTTCAAGCCCTTCAAGTTGTGCACCATTTATACCTCCAAGAACAGCATCCTCCTTTCTCCCTCTCTCTCTCTTTTGAGCTCCGAGGTAGGGAAGGAGGAAAGAAAGACCTATTTTTTTTTATTTAAAAAAAACCCCTATTTTTAAAATGGGATGCACAAAGCTGCTAGATTTCTCCTCAGGACCCTTGACACTGCCCTTCTTTCTCCATCTTTGCAACACAGACTACTGCATGGAAAAAAACAGGAGAGGGAACAGATTTCTCACGTTAACACTTGCACAATAGGTCAGCCACTTCTACAGATTTACTGCTTCCTAGCTTCCACAAAATAACTTATTAGAGTCTTATTTTCTTCCCCAATAATTCTCTCACATAAGAGATGTATCAGGAAATACCAAAAAAGGAGATCAGCTGACTGAATTAAGTCAGTTTCAACTATTTTCTTTTACTCACTGTTGCAGTGTTTCAAAGCCCTGTTCCTTGTACAGCAGCTCTTGCTTCATCTGAGAAAGTTCACTCTTCAGCTTCTTAACCTTGTGTGTTAAATCAAAGCAAGAGTTAGAAAATTCCTCTTGTTAAACAGCATTACACATAGCTTTGAACAGTTAATGTATTCTCTTCAACAGATGAGACAAGAAAAAAAAAAGTAAATTGCTCTACTGACACATATTAAAAACAAAAGGATCTATTATCTTCCTGATGTCTATGGGCAACATGCTTTAGTATTAAAGGGATACAAGCAGATTAAATCACATTCCTTATTTGTATTGATACCACACTGTGTTATTAAACCTGAGAGAACTTTAACAAGTAATTTACTTCTCACTTGTTAAGCATGCATTCCAACTGTCCTACAGGGACATGCCTGTTTATTTTTAGGCTTATTATATTTTCACTTTTTCATTTCCGGAAGCTCTCAAGATATTTGTACTGTAAAAGACAAAGTGTGGACTCCCTTTTATTTATTTTTTTCCCTATGAACCATCTAAAAAACTTTACAGACACTGGATCCCTAAATACATAATTCAACTCCATTTAATTCAAAGACAACAATCACCAAACATTTGGATCGCAAATATGTGTCTTTTTAACAGAACTGTCTTTAGCAAAGCATTCCCTACTTTCCCTCAATTTTCATGCTGAATTGCTTTTTAATCTCAATGCTGCTATTTCAGATATTACTACACCACAAAATATTTATGAATTGAGGTTAAATTTTTTAATCCTCCATTTAGTTTTTTATCTTGCACTTCCCAAATGTACTAAAACAAAATTTCTGGACCACCCATAAAGGTGTGTACTTTAACACAAATTAAAATTAAACCTCACCATACACATAGAGACAGAAATACCACCTTGATCTTTGAAGTCTCAAATCTTGGTATTTATACATCTATACCTGGTTCCTCTGCACGCTAAATACTAGCCAAATACTGTTAGGCTTTTTACCTTTCCAATCAGTAAGGTGAAAAAAGGAAAAGCCTGCTCTCACCTACCACTGAGAAATTCTGTTTTCATATAGGATCTCAGATATTCAATTCTTTAAAAGAATATATTATATTAAAATGAAGAATGTTGACCACTTTAACTGAAATTAATTTCAAAGTACATCTCCATGGCTTTTTTGTATCCAAATCCCCCTAGACTTCCTACCTGGTACTATTCTTCAAATTAAAAAAAAAAGTGAGTTTCCCAACATGCCAGGTGACTAAAAGTACTGAGCATATGCAGCTGCTGTAGCTTTCCAAGAGACTTAAAATGCTTTGCATGTCTAAAATAGCCAACGATTTGTGGAGTCTTTGTAGGGGTTTGTCAATATACTTGGGCCTTCAAGTTTGTACCTTCTGGCTAATTAATTTTCTGTGACAGAAAAAAAAATGTTTTCAATCTCTTATCTTCTCCAAAGCAAAATCTGTTTTCTGGATGAGGGGTTAGGTTCAGGCTTTTGGAAACTATAATCAGTAGTTGCTTTACTTGACAGAAAACTGTTTTTATTTTGACCATGCAGAATAAGTAGCATGACAAATAGGCAGTGTGTCTAAGTAGACAATCAGTGCTCCTTAACTACGCCTTCCTTGGCTAACAAAAAAACCCTCCAGAATAATCTCTCAAGTGTTCTGACCAAAATTACAGAAAATGAAAAGATATCACTTCTGTGTTCCAGGTAAAGTAATGTGTAAAATATGAAAAGAAGTGACAGCTTTTCTGAGAAACACAGAACAGATAAAACTTTTTTTTTTTTTTTTTTTTTTTTTTAAAATTCGGAATTGAATTTAGAGAAATAACGGAGCTATTTTAGTTGCCTCAGTGTCTCTGGAAATCACTGGAAACTGAGTACTGAAAAGTGAATTTGAATGCTCTGTGGGGAGAGAACTTTAGAAGATATCTGGGTTCCCTGGGAAATGCCCAGGTTTAGGTATTTTGTATTTGTAAAATCTAATGCAAGAAATGACACACAGCAGCAGTATATTGAGACATTTCTACATTGGTGCCTGAGACCAGTAAGAGACTTTGACCCTTTTTTCTTTTTTTTTTTTTTTTTTTTTTTTTAAATCTGGAATGTGAATTTATAGTAATAGTGGAAGTCACACTTAATTTCAACTTTGAGGATTGAATCTCTCAGAAACCCTTACATTTTTCCTCAAGATCATCTTCTGAGTGTTCTCTGCTGTAACTCATCATCATTTCATTACCATGAAATGTGAGTTAGGCACATTATCCTAGAAGGACGTGACCTACATCATAATACAGACTGTATGTTTACCACATCATACTTTCGTTAAACTGTTCTTGTGCTCCTTGTCTTCTCCCTCAGAACTTTAATATAATTCCCACTTTTTCACAACTCTTCACTTATTTTATCCTTCATCCCCTTTCTACTGCTTCTGCATATCATCGTAAGTCACTTGACAGGCCTCTCACTTCCTCCTCCTAACTGCATCTTCAAGCAGACTCCTCTGTCAACCTCCTTCTATTTCCAGCACTCTAGTACTAATGGAACAACAACGACAAAATCCCACCCTGTTATTCCCTACTTGCTGCATATGCATAAAACATACTGTGACGTGCTTGGTGTCGTTTGAATCATCTTACTGAGTACTAATTGAGACCCCAAATCGCCCCACTCAAAGTCCACTGCAGGATCAGAACCTTCAATTTTAATCTTGTGAGAAAGGTCTTTCTTTTTCTACTTATTTCATTTAACAGCTGTCTGATTCCTGTCACATTTTCTCTACAACCTATTGTGCAATAGGCAACTTGTGTATCCAAAGGGCTCTGCATGCTTATATTAGCACAGCTAACATGGAAAAGGCCAAAGGCCAATCCAGAACTTCCTCGAATGCTGAGTTCCCCCCTTCAGCCACCATTCCCGACGACACCAGTAAGCCTCCACCAGTGTGAGAGAGAAACAGGTTTAGTATGTCTGACTTAATAGTTCACTAAACAATGTGCAAATTCTAACTAGCTGGCTAGCAGCTTACTAATGACTAACTTGTTTCCCATTAAGTCCAACCATGCATATGCTGTAAAATGCCCCAAAAATGGCTTATTAGCAAGCATCCTCAAACATTCAAATAAAATAAACTATGATAATAGTCATACCTCTCTTGCCATCTTCCATGAAAACCACTTTCCAGCCCTAGCATCACAGGGCTCCACTTTTTCTTATCTCAATGATTTTCAAATCCAATGGCTTTGGATGACAACACACTTTATGCTGATAGAGATATTCTTGGACTGCACCCTTCTAAACTCTGCAGACAAGATTCAGGTCACCTATTTTAGGCACACATGCAACTTGGATTTTGCAATGCCAATACATCAGGTGTTGGGAACCAGCAGGATATTAGGCTCCTTGACTCCAAAAACAACAAAGAGAGGCAAGCACCTCCAAAAAATTAATTGCTGTGCTTAAGACATCTGTCTCTCTCCTTAGTGAACAGACAAAATGTAGATCTGCAGCCAAGAGGTGATTCAGTGTTTTTGCATCTTGAACTGGGAGGTTACTTAGCTCAGCTAAGTAACAGGAAAAACTGAGCACAGGACCATATCTGAATTTTCTCCTCTTTGACTTGCAGGTGACTATATTTAAATTTGGTCATGTGTTTTGTTCTTCAACAACATCATTAATTTTCCAAATATACTAGTGATCTCCTTGGCAAAGGAAGCATCTGTTACTGCTACACTTATTTTAGAAAGAAGTTCTCGCCTTGTCTTTTCATTCTTGTTCCTGACAGGGTCCTTACTGCTTATGAACTTATATAAAATTTTTCCTCCCACCTTCTTTAGTGCTGAAATAAGTTCTCTCACTAACCACCTTCTCTTCTCCTTAAATGATAAAGGACTACAACTTGAGATTGGTAGGATGAGCAGGTGTACAAGCAGTCAGGAGGGCAACACCCAGACACCAGTTCTACAGTGCATTCCATCCCTGATTTATCGTGGGATTTACAATTTTTAATAGCTATTCCACAGTTCCTTCAAAACATTGTTTAGATTCCTAATCGTATCTCTTACTTCAAATAAAGTATATTGCTCTCGAAGGCTTCTGGGTGCTGGTCTGTGCGGAAACCAGGAGGGGGCAATGGAAGAGCTGAGTAACTGCTGTAGCTTGTGCTGCTTCTGCTCCTGCAGAGCCTGTATTCCAGCCCTCATCGAAGGACTATGCTGTCAGGTGCTGTCTTTTTAACCTCCATGGTTTGATCTAATTTTTTTCATTACTAATTACAGAAAGCTCTGGCTATCTGTAAAGTATAATATGCCACAGCTGAAACAAATGAGCCCCCTACATAGATTCAGTAGAGACTAACCTGCGAATTAAAGTTTTTTATATGCATCCTGTTAGTGACCATACTGAAGCAAGCTGACCAAATAATGGGTTTTTGTTCCCTAGCAATTTCAAAATGTGAACACAAGCTTTCATTCTTGATCTGAACTGCTCCATTTTGACCAAAAGAGCAAAGTTTCAGACCAGTATTGAAAAGCATTTTTTAAAAAAACAACAGAAACTTATGAGGTAGTTCATGTAGCTAACAAGGCATTTCTCATAGAAGAAAGACTGTGTAAAAAGAGTAATCCAGCTGAAGCTCACCTAGGCCTACTGCTTTTCTATTTTCACCTAAAGATTTTTCTTCCTTTTAAAATCAAAAGCATATGAGTGAAAATAGTTATCAGATTTATTTAAACCCACATCTAATTAAAGTACCTACGTTTCTCCAAAATGTGTTATCTGAAAGTGACAGAGTCAGCTTTAAAAATTCATAAAAAACCTCTGAATGGTATTTAATAAGAATATTAGGAGGCTTCAGAATCTGGGTACAAGATACCTCTGCTAGTTCAACCTTTGCTTTCAAGAGTTATAAACTTAGCACAAAGAATAGAAAACAATACAAGTTAAGCACTCTCACCCTTAATCTTGTAGTAGAGATTTCAGCCTTCAGAATGTCAGGGTCATACTTGGTGCTTGATGAGGAGCCTGAGAATACTTTTTAAAAGGTAAAAAAAGGACAAATATTTAAGTATTTTAAAATAATTAATTACTCCCTTCTTCAATGATCTAAAACTACAAGCTGCAGAAAAATATTTTATGTTTTTTATAAAATTCTTTTATAGAGTGGCCAGCATTGCAGGATCGAAATAATTAATGAGTAATCAAAACTTCTCCCTTTTCCCCCACACCACCTGCTTCTAAGAGAGATGTTTGGCCAACTACTGGCCTCTGACAGCACTTTACTGCATGACAATTCCTTGCCCAACATTGTAACGTGTGTGTCTACTTCACCCCTGATCCCTGCACAAAGGCTACAAAATTATTGTATGTTAAAGGCAGCAACAAATTCTCTTCTTGGTCTATTGCAGACACTTGTCAACACAGTCGGCTCATTTCAGTATGCACTCATGAAGTGCAAGGATCCTATTTACTTTGAACCCAAATTTGGCAGAATTCTGTTCTGACAAACTGCATGACAAAATAGATTTCAGAGCCAACTGCCTTAAACCACGGCTCAAAGGAGTTCAATTATATCAGAGAAGAAAGTTCTATCCAGCAGAATCTCTTTATACTAAAAAAAAAATAAATAAATAGGGATGTTATATCTAAAAAAAACAGAGTAGAAGGTGTTCATAGTAAACCTTGAAAAATCATCCTAAAGAGAAACAGAATCCCCTGCAAGCACAGATCAAAGAAGTTACATTGTATTCTCTACCGTACTTACAGCTTGTATGAGAGCTTGATTTTTCTTTGTAGGCATCATTCAACCGTACATACTCATCCAGTGCCAGTGCCAGCCTCTGTTCTTTCACCTGGTACAGTTCTTTCTGAGTACTGAGAGCATCTTGGGCTACCATAAGATAATCTTTTAACATTCTCTCTTGTTCTTGCCTCCATTGTTTCCTGGGATCTTCTATTTGTGTTGTTTCTGTATAGGAGAAAAATAAAGGATTTAAAGTGACCTTTGCTGAAATCCACTTACAACTAAATAGGTTTTTTGTCTGTAATCCACAGTCACAGAAATGTAAACCATAGCTTAGCTTTTGTTACTAAGCAGATGCTCCATTTTATTTAAGTTTCTCTTTGCCACAATAGTATATGTAAGAAACAGTACTTAAGGATCAATTGCAAAATTAGGAATTAGGGTACAATGCATAAATGCTTACATAAATCTTTCCCCCATCTTCAACCTTGTATTAATAACATCCTAAAACCCAAGAAAAATATATTTTTTGCATTAGAGTGTTTGGAAATAAATGGATCAATAAAGTAATAGAATCATGTCCTTCAATGACACCTTAAAATTAATGAATTTCTGAACAAAAATGAAAAGTAATCCTAGCTATTACGTTTTTTCAAACCCCTCTCCTTTCCACTTCATTAATTTTTACAGCCATATGTTATTCATGTTTTATAGCTGTTATCTCTCTCCTTTTCCTCTAGGAAAGCAGTTTTATCTTCTCCCCTGTAAATGAAATAACAGAACATTAACTCTCCAGATCATCTCACCCAACTTTATCCCTATCCCTGCTAGGCATCTAATGCAAGATACAATTTCCTATTATGATCAACAGACAGAGAGGGCCACCTTCAAACGGCCCTTCACTCCATCAAAAACAGGTGCCCAAGATACACGGGACCAAACTGCCTTTTTGAGGTGTCTCTGTCTTTCCTCTGACTACCCGGGTAATATAAAAGAGTAGGCTGGAACAGGCTCTTCATTCACAAAGGACTTCAGGTCAACCATTTTAACACCAGCAGCCACACAGAAGACTGACTTGCATAGAATGTGCAGATGTATGGAGGATTAGACATAATGTAGTGTTATATATTAAGAACATATGTGATGAGATCAACATAATTGTAGCTTTCAAGATTTTTATGTCTGTTACTGTACATATGCAAAAAGGAAGCATTAAAGGCTGAATGTTCAATCTTATAACTTCCTGACTTAGTTCAGCACTTTTTGAAGCCGTACAATGAACATTCTTCCTTTAAAGCTAAGTAGAAAAATATTCTCCTAAGACAGCCATCAGAAGTTTGAAATCTAAATGCAAATGTGAACCACACTGCATTTTGTTTTTAAGTCACATACTATAAAGCTACATAAATCTACAGAGATAAAAAGTAACATTCAATACTAGGTATTTAAGTGTGAAGTATTTACTTCCAAAGTTTTCGGCAAAAAGGAGGAGGAAAGTTTATTCTCTGTGTTAGATTTCTGCCACTTCAGTTCTCTGAATTGCTCTACTGTGAAAACCAATGCAGGTGGGGAAAAAACTGGAATGCATGGCTGAAGACATGGCACTGGTTAAGCTGCATCTCCAATACTGTCTTCAGTTTGGGGCCCTTCTCAATAAGAATAGCATTAAGGTGCTGGAGCGTGTCTAAAAAAAAGAGCAATGAAGCTGGTGAAGGGTCTAGAGCATGAGTCTTACAAGGAGCAGCTCAGGGAACTGTGGTTGTTTAGTCTGAACAAAAGGAGGCTCAAAAGGAGACCTTATCACACTCTACAGCTACTTGAAAGAAGGCTGTAGGGAGGTATGCGCTGGTCTCTTCTCCTAAGTAGCAAGTCACAGGATGAGAGGAGATCACTTCACGTTGCACCAGGGGAGGTTTAGCTTGGATATTAGGAGAAGTTTTGTTACCAAAGGGTTTATCACGCAGTGGAACAGACTGCCCAGGGGAAGTGGTTGAGTTACCATCTTTGAAAGTATTTCAAAGTTGTATAGATGTAGTGCTTAAGGACATGGTTTAGTGGTGGCCTTGGCAGTGTCAGGTTAATGGTTCATGACCTTGAAGGTCTTGTCCAAGCAAAGCAATTCTATGAAAAAAAAACAACAAACACACAAAAAAACTGCAGCAGAACCAACCTGACGGTTCTAAACTGTAGCCAAAGTGCTCTCCTGGGGAGAAAGCATACTTTCAACTCAATATATGAAAAAAGATCTTTAAACAGCAAAAGCTGGTAAGGACAGGTTCTGGTTAATAACAATTTCCCATACTAAATACCTATTTTTTCAAAAGTTTGTGGGGTTTCTTTTGGTGTTAGTATCACATAAACCGAAGACATGCAAATAAAAAGAAGCACCCCATAAAACTAACCCTGTAGAATCTAAACTGATAATGTCTATAGAACTACTACTGCTTTCAAAAACAAATACACATACAAAGATTCACACTCCTCGCATGCTGGTGACCCCCTTCACCCTTTACAAACATGATGGCTTTTGTATTTCTACTTGGGAATGGTATTCTTAGATGTACACAACAGATGCATAGAGAGTATAAATCACATAAACCCAAGTGTGACACACAAAAAAGACTAAAGCAGAGAGGCTTTATACAGTTTGTTCTCCTATAACTGCAACACGAACACGCTCTCCAAAAAACTAACTATAGCTATGGATGCGCAAACACACACACACATCCATGTTTGTAGCCACTTGCTCTTTTCCACAAACATATCAGGCACAGAAAGAAGTAAATTGATACCTTTTCTCTCCTAAATGGTCAACACGTGTCCCTATCTGTGGCCACTTATTGCTGTTGTGCTTTAACACATCTCCACATTCACAGTTATTTACACAAGGTAAGAAGTGCTGGTTTCCAGAGGTGTCCCTTTTTTTGTGAAGCAGGATGAAGAGAATGAAGCAGGATTCTCATGGGTCAATGATCAAATAGGATAAATGCAGTTATGTTGGTTTTTTTGAGAAGAATGTAATGATGTGATTGTGTTTTAAGTGTGCAACCAGCAGCCACCAAATAATCTTACAAGATTGGAAAGTCTCATCTTCGAGCATGTTGTAGGTAATTGCCTTGTAGGTTTTAAGGGAGGGTTGCTCAACATGCAGCCCAAAAACCAAATGTAACCTGCAGAGTCCCAAAACGGGACCTACAGATGCCCTGTCCTTGTGACTGCAAGAGAAGGACAAAGCTGATCAACAGCAGATTGTTTTGTATTGCTGATAAACAAAATCAAACATTTTATTTTTGCCTCTCCAAGCTGCATGTGCAAAACAATACTATGATTATATGAGCTAACATTTTTTATACTGATAGTCATAAACAACTTAAAGGTGACCCTGAATTTTAAAAATTGCACACTAACTTCAGCATACTGAGGTTTGGGTATATGCCCATGTAGGTATATTGACTAGTCAAATTATTCTCAGCCAATTCTATCTGCATTTATTTTATTCTGGAATGAACTCTCTCAGCTGGGAAAAAACACAGTCCTGGAAAAAGCAAAACAGAATTATTACTCAACTTTTACCAAGCAGAGGAGGCTCTGTGTCTTTTAAAATATCATTAAGTGGAAACTCCACAAAATTCTATCACTTGTTTGGCAAGTTGTTCACATATATAAACGTGTGCTTGTGTAGCAGCACCATATGCTTGTTCATGTATAATTTTCAGTTGTCTCAATTTTAATCAGTAGGTTTACCCCACAGAGAAAAGAAAAACAGACAGAACTATGAATAATATTTGTGGTACTGTAGTGCTGCATTTTGAAAAGTTGGCTTATTTGACCATGTGTACCTTCTAAGGGCCAATACTTTTTTTAAAAAGCAGAGTTCTTTCAAAGCCAAATATTTATACTTCTCAGAGTAAAGCCTCACAAAGATAAGGGTTTTTTTCCTTGGACAAGAATGTTTTAAGCACCTGCTGTTAAGGTCAAACTTGTATAAACAAGAATATTTTTGAGTAAGTTACATACATGCCATTGAGAGAATAGCTTGCTGAATATTTCAAAATGAGATGTGAAGCCCTTCATGCATTTAAACCACAAAGAACATCCAAACATTTTCCTACCCTTATTATTCAACAGCTGGCGTAACAAACTTGGGAGATCTCATTCCTTTTTTTAGGACAAATGTTTCCACTGGTGACTGCAATAGGATACCTTAAAACCCTGTCTGCAGCAGACATGAACTCAAATCATCACCAGTGGAGAATGAATAAACCACTTCCCAGAACATCACCTCTCCAACATTTTCTACATCATCAGACAGTTAAATTCAACAGTTCAGCTGAGAAAACGAAGAATAATCTTCATATATCAACTTGCTCAGCCCAAAGGCGACGAGCCACAGTAAGAGAGCAGGGACACGGTGACGTGTGCCTAATACTCAGGTTACAGGTTCCTAATCTGACTTGGTTTTAGCGTCATTTGGCAAATTTGCAGATCAAAATTATTCAATTTTATTAAGAGATCTTGATTTAAAACCAATTAACTAACTTAAAGCAAACTGATGCAAATGCACAGTTAATTAATTTATAAAATATTATAAACCAGCTATTTATTTCTTCCTATTCTGTAAGGATCTGAGTGACTACCCAAGCTGGGGGTAAATTCTGTGAGACAGAAAGCACTTGAGATCTCACCCAGCAGAACCACACAAGCAGCAGGATGCCATGCTCCACCCAAGAATGTTCCTGTGTACTGAAATTATTGCAGCCCTGTCATGCTGAAGAGCAAGCTGTGATGGCTTCAATCATACTGCTAGTCATGAAATGCAGTCTTCCTGGCTCCCTGCCAGCCAGGTTTGATGCACTTAAACTCAAAGAGTTTGGCCTGAACAATAATTCAAAACCAAAATGCCAGGACTGACTTTACCTCTTCAAAGTTTTGTTTATTCCTTTGACTAGAACTTGCTTCCAGGGTAACAAGGTTACATATGCTCTGTGTAATTATACATAAGATACATATCATACATAATGTACAGGTGATAGCCAAATATACCTGTTTAAAAAATGAGATTTTTTAATATGTTATGTTCCTTTCTGCTACCAAGAAGCTCTGCCAAATTTTTACAGTCTATTTGAACAGAAGGAAACTATTACCTTATCAGCAGTAGATCATATTTCCCTAGAATACACAAAATGAAAATCCTACTAGAAAATCCCACAGGGTAGGGAACAGCT